ACATTGATAGGCCCAACTCACCGTCTTCCTCTAGCTCACATTAGCAAATCAAGCACACCTGTTTACAACGAAGAAGAAGGAGAATTCACACGAACTGTTCAAATGCTGAGAACCATTTCTCTCTCACGGAGTACTCTGAGGTCCTTCTCCCAAACCCGCACCCATTTGTGTTCAAACCCAAGCCAAACCCCATCTCCACCTTCAACCCCTTCAATTTTGATTTCCTACTCTTTTTACTCGACATCATCGAAGCAAGAAAAGGAGGACAAAAACGACGTCGCGTCGGTTTTCAACATGGACCCAACAGTCCCTCCCAAGCTCTTCGTGGTCCAGCCTCGTCTTCGCCCCGATAACTACTTGCAGGCCAAGCTCAACGAGGCTCTCTGCCTCGCCAACTCTCTTGAAGAACAGCGAGATGGGTACTTCGATGTCGATTTTTTCGATAAGGAAATACCTCCCCACATTGTTGTTCAAAACCCAATTGTTAGACACCAAACTCGAGCAGGTCGGTTCTTTAATTGTCAATATTATCTTCAATTCTTTTGAAGTAAACTTTAACCCCATTTAATTAAGTTATGCGATTTTCACTTAAACTGGGTCCGCGTATGAAAATAATCACAATTTTGCATTGTGCAGATACATATTTTGGCAAAGGGACTTTGGAAGTTGTTAAATGCCATCTAAATGCACTGGAAGAAAAGGAAAGAGGCTTTCTTTTGCTGTTGTTGTTGGTTTTTTTTGTTGTTTTCTTTTTCTGTTTTGTGTTTCAAAATTTGTCTAAATTTTAACAGGGTGAAGTGGATGCTATATTTGTGAATACAATTCTGTCGGGGATTCAGCAGAGGAATTTGGAGGCAAGTAATTCTGCGTATGCAGTTTTTCTTCGTTTTTTTTGTGTGCCTTAGAAAATTAGAGCTCATCTGTCCCACACTAACGTTTATATGTAGAAAACTAAAAAATGGTAATGATTTTTATATTTCTGTTTCGTGTGGCAGCAAATTTTGGGTAAACCAGTCTTGGACCGTGTGGGTCTTATAATAGAGATATTCAATGCTCATGCCTGCACAAAGGAGGGCAAGCTGCAGGTATTAGTGTATCTTTGGTTAAGGAGTTTGTATTTTAGTGAAGAGCTTTGAAGGATCATTTATGGCCCCCTTTTGATTTTTACAGGCTGAATTAGCAGCTCTAATGTATAAGAAAACAAGACTTGTACGACTGCGTGGCAAAAGTGGACGCTCAACTTTTGGAACGGATGGAGAAGCTGAAGTTGTTAGTGCCCGAGGGTAATGTATTGTCTAATTCTGAAAACTTAAATGCAGCTGAGATTTTACTAAGTATTTTGGTCATGCGTACTTAGAGAAGATTTTGTCTAAATGGGGTGTTAATTGCAGGAGAGGAAGTGGGGGACGTGGCTTCATTAGTGGTGCAGGAGAAACTGAACTTCAGCTTCAACGACGAAGGTTCATTTCCATGATTCTCATATCTTATGTTAATATTTATATCTCGTGCTCTAGTTTTAACGGGCCCTTGAGTGCAAGTGGCTGTTTCTTTGACCTTATGAAACAAACGTACTAGTTTTTCATAACTGCAGATGACAAGTTTCTCCTACTAAAATATTGTGTCAATTGATATTTCAGACATTTCATTTCTAAATGGTGTTTTTCTTGTATCAACCACCAGACTAACTACTAATAAGAGTTTCTTTCTTACGTTTTTCCTTTTTACTTGTTTCATTCTTTTACTTTTTTTTAAGGTTATTGTTCAAAGTTGAGTAAATACAAGCATTAACTGGAGTCGTATTGAGCTAGGAGTCTATTGTTACAATATAATTGATGACATAAAATACTTGGTTAACTCTCTGTGGTTTATGGTATATCTATTCTTGCATATGTGCATCCACTTAATAGCACTATAATCTCAGAATTTCAGAACGGAGGAGTAGTCTGTTACTGCAAATTCAAGAGGTTCGACGAACTCGAGCTGTGCAACGTGCTGGTCGGAAGAATCGTGGAGGCTCTTATGGTCAAGGTTTACCTACTGTTGCTGTTGTTGGGTATACAAATGCTGTATGTGGTCTAATATATTATATTTTCTTTTTGTTATTTTTACACAAAATTGTCCAAACATTTAATTCCTCACTTCTTGTGATAGGGGAAATCTACATTAGTTAGTGCCCTCTCAAATAGCGATCTTTACAGTGATTCTCGGTAATATATTCCACTCATACAACATGTTATTTTGATCTATAAACCATATGTTATTTAACCCTTGATCTTGGCTTTTAACAGATTGATGATGTTGTACTATTTTTGCAGATTGTTCGCTACGGTTGATCCTAAATTGAGGAGTGTTTTTCTTCCTTCAGGGTATATGACCATAAATGATAACTGTTTTGCTCGTTAATTGTATTTTGGAATTTTGATGATAAGTTGTTGCTTGGATGAGTTTCTGGATCTTGTTTTGCACTAATTGTGAGTATTTAATGTTCAGGAAGAAAGTGCTTGTAAGTGACACAGTAGGATTTATATCAGATTTGCCAGTGCAGGTATATGGAAAACATGTTTAAACTACTTTCTTTCATTTTCTGTCTTACCACTAATTCCATTCATCACTTATACAATCTACTTTTGTAGTTAGTGGAAGCATTTCATGCAACTCTAGAAGAAGTTGTGGAAGCTGATCTCCTTGTGGTATGACTAATTTCTTATGCTTTCATTTGGGAACCAGGGTCTATTTCAGGTTTTTCCACATGTACATTTGAACTAGATTTGTTGATACGCAATACAATGCGATAAAATTAAGTTCCTGCTATTGATATATCTCTGGGCTTCTGTTTGGTATCCCACATCATGTGGTATGATATGACATAGAATATATAAAACACAGTAGCAGAGAGATTAATATTTCTGGTGTGGGATTTGAACTAACATTCAAAGTGGCTCCCAACATGACAAATCTAATAGATGTTTCTGTACCTTGCAGCATGTGTTGGATTGTACTGCTCCCAATCTAAATGAGCACCGGTCGACTGTATTCCAAGTTCTTGATCAAATCGGTGTATCAAAGGAAAAACTTGAAAACATGATTGAAGTTTGGAATAAGGTATTGCTAGTCTCTGCACTTGTACACTACCTTAAATAGAATGAAAATTAAATAGAAAGCTAATGCAGTTATCCATATCCTTTGGAATTCCACAGATTGACTATCAGGAGGAGGGCATGGATTTTGATGAGTGTGTCGATGACATTGCAGATGGTGAGGCTAGCAGTTTCTCAGGAGAAAGAGATGATATGGATTCTGAGCTCTCATCAGGAGCCGAAAACGATGAGGCTTTTGAAGCTATTGATGACCAAGATGGTGATTACTCTGACGGTTGGTTGGCATCAGAAGATGTCGAAGATCCTTGGGGTGAAGGTGGGTCCTGTACGGGCTTGAAGACTACAGACGACCAACAAAGCGAGTGTCCAAAGGACTGGACAACAGAAAAGCAGTTGCAATTACAAGTTCAGTCTGGTCCACATGTTAGAACATCTGCTTTAATGGGAGTTGGGTTGCAAGAGTTGTTGGAACTCATTGATGAGAAGCTGAAGGAGGCCCCAAAGGCAAATGTTGTGGAAAGGGATCCATTTGATCGAAAATGGAGGCCTCCTCGGACAGAGGAGGCTGGCGTAGCAGTTGAACAATGATAAATGTGAATATACATTTTGTTCATGTATGCTGTCATCGAGCAGCGCCATAGGATATATGGTTGGAATTCCCAGGGTCATCGACAATTATAGAGGAGCTCTTCGAAAGCAGTGTTGGCCTGGCAAAATGTTCAGACAGTACTCTGAAGGTATTCAAGCACCTTGAGTTGGCTGTTTTCTCTTTTTGGAAAAGATTAGGCCGTAGTACTTAGGCGGATGATTTTTATAGCAAAAACTCTTGTACCCACTTCTTAATTATAAAAACCAAAAAACAAAACGTGCCGACTCTGGGATAGTATTGTATAAAACAAATGAAACACTGTCACAACACAATGGTTTGTTTCTCAAAGCTATTTGTATCTTGAAAGATGGCCTAATAAGTTAGCGTCTCTAGTGTTATTCTTTAAATCCAATTCTTGGTGCGATTAGAAGTTGTTTTTTCGTAGCGTTTATCCGCCTTTTAGAATTGTTCTAGCACTCGTTTGAATATTTAGAGTAGCACAAAATAAGGATGATCATTAATTTTTTTTAATTTAGTGGTATTTTTCTTCTCAATGTTGAAGGAAGTTTAAAATTTAATTCCTCTTCCTCTTTGCAAAGCCTCTTTCTTCTTTTGACTAAGAGAAATTTTATTTCATTTTTGTAATTTAAATGAGAAACAAAAACTTCTCTATTCCCGTTTCATTGCCCCTCTCCTCTTCGGAGATAGGGAAGTATTTCTCCAAATGATGAGAGTGGTATTATTCTGGGCTCCATCCAAGCAACTTGGCCCAGACGAATCCATTATGAGTTTGGAAAAAGGAAAACGAGGCCTGTTATGAAGAGCCTAAAAGTCCAAAATACCCCGTACCATTTGCAAGCACAAGATCCCGCCGACACTTGATGCCAATGCCGCGTGCGACAGCCATTCGTATATACGAGAAGAAGGAAATACATACACAACGTACACTCGCACGCACTTGCCTATATGACATATCTCATATCTCCGTCGGTCTCTTTTAGATTTCGCTCTATTTTCAACTCTCTCTCTTTCTCTCTCAGCTGAAAGAAAACCCAAGAGAAATTTTTTTTTTTCAAAAGAAAAAAAAAAAAAAAAATCAAAATTTACAGATCTAAGATCCAAAAAGCATTGCCATTGAGCAAATCCTCAATGTGGTGCTCTCTTTTGTGGTGATCTAAGGTAACTCCCGAACTCAATTGAATTTCTCGCTCGTTTCTTACATTGCTCTGTTATTGGCACTCTGTTTGTTTCGCGGGAAAAATGAGAACCAAACGAATTGGTTCCGCATTCATAACCGTATATGGATCTAGCTTCATTTTCTATATGTTTGTGCCCGATTTTCATTCGTATCTATAAATTTTGTTTTCTGAAAGCAGTGTACAGTATTTTCGGATTCGTTGCCTGTGAAGAAAGAGCAGCCATGTCAAGGAGGGCGGTGGGATCCACACGCCGTAATGGAAACTTTCCGTTTTCTGGAGCCTTCAATTCAAAATCCAAGTCGTCCCCTTTGCTATCCATTGGCCTTGTAGTTGTGGTGAGTTTTCTTGGATTCAAATTTCATTTCCTTTGTATGCCAATTCTGTGCAATTCAGTTTGTGCTGCTGAGTGAGTGCGTAGCTCCTACATCATTTTAAACAATATAACAAATTATGAGTTTCTAATTATGTTTTGTTGGTTTCTGGTTGAAATTCTCAGGGAGCGATCCTAATTGTCGGCTATGTTTATAAGGGCTTAGGTTTGTATTTTAATTGCTTGCATTAACAGCCCCTATTTACATTTACTGATATGGAAATTTTGTTAATTTTGGTGAGCTAGCTGGGCAATGCTTTTTCGGAGGTCATTGATTCTTTGAATTCTTACACATGTATGCTCCGATTAATGTTTGTTCTTAAAAATTCAGGTGTCTTCGGCGGGGGTGCCAATGTAGTTAGTAGAGTTGAAGGTGAGTTTGGGGCCTTTTTCTGCTTGTCTTGTCAGGTTCATGTTCAAGTGTTAGCAATTAGTATTCTTCAGATACTTGTAATAATAGCATTTGCCCATTTCCTTCTGTAATTAGGCGATTTCTCATGCACGCTAGAAGTTCAGAGAGCAATACCTTTCCTAAAGAAAGCTTATAGTGGAAGTATGCACAAAGTTTTGCATATTGGCCCTGATACTTGTTCAGTTGTGTCTGCATTGTTAAAAGATGATGAAATTGAAGCATGGGGTGTGGAACCATATGAGATAGAGGATGCTGATAGGAATTGCAGGAGTCTTGTGCGCAAAGGCATTGTGCGTGTGGCTGATATAAAGTTCCCTCTGCCCTATAAAGCAAAGTCTTTTTCTCTTGTGATAGTGTCAGATGCATTAGATTACCTCTCTCCAAAGTACCTGAACAGGACTCTTCCAGAATTGGCAAGGGTTTCTTCCGATGGTCTTGTTATTTTTTCAGGTACTTTACTATAAAGTTCATATAGCTTGTGCAGTGTCAGGGTTTGTTGCTAGAAATTCTTTTCCTGAAATGATTAGAAGTTCATATGAGATAATTGCACTGTTATCAAAAGATTCACATTAATTAATTGCACTCTAGTACTTCTCTTTTGGTTGATTCATCCGGTTAAAATGAATTTAGAGATGTTTAGCTATTTTAATCCTTGCAGATACATACAGACACCCCAGTCAATTGCATTGATCCTAAGTGGATTAAGTCAATATATTAATTTATACGGCCCTTGGCTTTAAATCTCTTACTAAAGATACTGGACCGGAGATATCCTGATACTAAGTCTTTCTGACCATAATTATTTACCGTTAATGTTTTTAGGTTCTTTATTCCCATAGAAAGTAATAATTTTTTCTTGATCTTTTGCTTTTGGTAATAAATAATAATCATTTCTAATTTCACTGCTATTTACTTTTATGTTTAGGTTTCCCTGGTCAACAGAGAGCTAAAGTTTCTGAGTTATCCAAATTTGGACGCCCGGTAAGTGATCTGCCCATGTGATGTCAGCATGCTACTTTGCAGTTGTTGGATTACTACTCTTACCCATCTGGATATGATATGTACTGTAAATTGGATGGTCATTACTCCTTATGCTTATCATTTGCTTGAGATCAAATTTCAACCAAAATCATATCCAAGTGCATAAGTTATTTGTTGACAAATGAAGGGGCTATATAAAGCTGGGTCCTGATCCTTATGTTAAACTTGGAAATAATGAAAGGAGATGTAACATCTATGATCACTCTATTAAAATTTGGTTTTAGTTATAGAAGCTTTAATAATAATCATCTGGTTTGTATCTGCCTGGTTGACCTTCTGACTACGATATCGTTGTTTCCTTTAGGCCAAAATGCGGAGCTCCTCAAGGGGCTATATAAAGCTGGGTCCTGATCCTTATGTTAAACTTGGAAATAATGAAAGGAGATGTAACATCTATGATCACTCTAGTAAAATTTGGTTTTAGTTATAGAAGCTTTAATAATAATCATCCGGTTTGTATCTGCCTGGTTGACCTTCTGACTACGATATCTTTGTTTCCTTTAGGCCAAAATGCGGAGCTCCTCTTGGTGGATACGTTACTTTGTTCAGACCAGCTTAGAAGAAAATGAAGTTGCCATCAAGAAGTTTGAGCAGGTCACAACAAAGGAGTCATACCAGCCAAGCTGTCAAGTGTTTCACCTTAACTCATATCACTAATTATAAAAATCATAGCATCTTTTATTCATTAAGTTTTGGTATGCCACAAGGCTGATAAAGGGAAAAGATTGTTGTAGCTGTCATTTAAAAACAAGACCTCTACTGGGTTGTTTTGGTATAGGGTGATTTGTATTCCGCCTCAAACTGATTTATATTCCTTTTGATTATAATGATTGTATCCGGGAATTGATTTTCCTACTGCCTTTGTTTTTTGAATCATTCGACTCCACCTCATCACTAGTGATTTTGTTACGACCGTACTTGAACAGGATTTGTGGTATTAGGTTGTGCTGTGTCCTTGAGTTCTGAGGAGACATGAACCTAAGTCTGGTAGATGAATTGTGACCATGTTATCAGAGCATGATTAGAAGTTATCGAGTTTTTGTAGCTGCATGAAAAGAAAAAGAACATCCATTTTAAAGTTTCTTGATCAGAAGTCTAATATGAACTAGCTGATTCTATCTTTTGACTTTTATCTCGTAAAAATTAGGGATGTGTTACACAAAAATCAGGATCAATAATCAATTCCTATAAACTTGGCCCAAGGTAGGAATTTGATGATGTTTTTTGCCTGGTTAGAGACTCGGGGCCATGAATCTAATGCATCTTCCATTGAAAAGCTAATCGCTTGGTTTCCTTGAAAAGTCATTCATGTCATGCTTGTAGAAGCCGATCTTCATTTGCTGCGAAAAGAGAACTGAAATTCACTAGCAGAAATATCACCAATAATCCCCACAAGAACAATGCCCTTCCTTAAAGCAATGAAACCTGTGGGCATCTCTCACAGTGATTTCCCTCCCAGCAATAGCAGAGATAAATTTGATTGCATTGTGGCAATCCCCACAAATCCTCAGGTTCTTCACCACAAGTATAGGCTCTCCCTCTCTGGTCGAGATCAACCCAAACGCAACAGCTAGCTTTTCACTGTGATGCCCCAACCGTATCTCCTTCTCTCCTTGCACTGATTCATCGTCCTTTACAAAGGTCCATCTTAAATCAGGCACATACCCCGCTCGCTTCATCTTCCTTGACATCTCTTCCAAGTATTCATGAATATCTTTAATCATCGGGTGGGAAATTTCTTCAGCTACGAAAACGTGTACCCTCTTATTCACCTCAATCCAACTACAACCTGGTTTTTTCTTCACTCCTCTATCTCGCATAAGTTTTCTAATTGTTGCTACTTCTTCCCATTTTCCATCTCTAGCGTACATATCTCAATCCAACTACAACCTGGTTTTTTCTTCACTCCTCTATCTCGCATAAGTTTTCTAATTGTTGCTACTTCTTCCCATTTTCCATCTCTAGCGTACATATTTGACAGCATCACATATGGAGCAGCATTTGACGGATCCAGTTGAAGAAACTGATTGGCTGCCTTCACTGCTAGTTCAATATTTCCATGTGTTCTACATGCACCGAGTAATGTAGCCCAGCCAACAGAGCCAGGGCTGAATGGCATTGTCTCAATGAGTCTTTCAGCATCATCCAGTTTGCCTGCTCGACCTAGAAGATCAATCATGCATGAATAATGCTCTGCTTCTGGTTCAATCTTGAACTTCTCCTTCATCATATTGAAATACTTCTGACCCTCCTCAACTTTTCCAGTGTGAGCACAAGCAGAAAGGACAGAGATAAAGGTTATACTTGAAGGAACAATACCCATCTGAAGCATATGTTCAAAAAGCCGTAGTGATTCCACTCCGATCCCATGCTGTGCATAACCTGCAATCATCGAATTTAAAGAGACAGTATTATGCTCTGGCATCCTATCAAATAACCTTCTTGCATCATGAAGATTCCCACATTTGGAGTACATTGCAACAAGAGCATTATTCACTGAAACTTTATTTGAAGGGATATCAGATTTGATTGCTAAGGCATGAATCTGCTTCCCCTGGGAGGGAGATGACAAATTGGAGCATGCACTAATCACACAGACGAAGCTGCAATCATCAGCACAGTGACCAACACGTTGCATTTGACGGAAACAATCTAAAGCATCCTCAGAGAACTCATCATTTTGAGAATACCCAGAAATCATCGTGTTCCAAAGAACCAAATCCGGATAAGGAATCTCTTCAAATAATTTCCTACAATCTGACATGCCATCAGCAGCACACTTGGAATATAAATCGATCAGGCCACTCCCAACATGTGAATTCTGGTGGAAACCAGTTTTGATCAACTTAGCATGGAACTGAAGTCCACCCAACAAGTCCTCCACACACGTAAATGCAGTCAAAACACTTGCCAATGTAAACATGTCGACCTTAACTCCCATCCTGACCATTTCCTGAAACAATGCCAGGGCTTTCAACCCTTGGCGGTGCTGGCCATAAGCCACAATCATAGAATTCCAAGACACTTCATCTCTCACCTCTCCCATGACATAGAACACCCTCTTCGCCTCCTCCAAAAACCCATTTTTACTATAGTATGTTACAAGGGCATTGTTTACCGAAACATATGAATCAAAACCACCTGACACCACCACCGAATGCAACTGCCTAATCAAACCGATATCATCACAACAACCCGTGATCACAGCAGAGATGGTAAACCCATCCATGTCAAGATCCATGTTTCTCATCCCAGTAAACAAACTCAACGCCGGTTCAGTCTCGCCGCGATCGGCATAAGCAGAAATGAGGGTGTTATAGGAGACCAAGTCCGGATGAGGAATTTTATCAAACATTTGGTGGGCAATGTGGGTATGGGACTCCTTTGCATACGCAGCGACGATAGCATTGAAGGAGAAGACATTGGGTTCTTGGGTCTGGTCAAAGGCGTTCCGAGCAGAGGAGAGACGGCCACATTTGGAGTAAAGGAGGATGAAGTGGTTGGAAAGGTATGTGGAAGGAGGAAGGAGGGACTTGAAATATAGTGCATGGAGAGCTTTGCCTGTAAAGAGGTCTCTCTCGGCTATGCATGTTTTCAAAAGGTGGCGAAAGTTTTGCAAGGCAAATGAAAGCTGGTTCATCTAAGCCGACTATAAGACTAGTTCCTTCCCATGTTTAGCACTCTTTAGGACTGCAAGCCAAATAAATGGGTTAAAAAATAATTTTGGTCGATGTCTTTTGTTTGGGCTTCTGTTTAGTTTCTGTGTCTTTTTTATCTACTTTTATTTTTTACAAGGTGATGTTTTAAGCTATGTACTAGTACGGTGTAGGGGGATCAAATTCGGGAGTCGGGTGTAGTCAATTGACTTAACTCGCATATACCGTTTGGTATTTTGTCAATCTTATGTTAATTTTAATCATAAACATTTTAATTTATTTTTTAGTGCCTTGAATGTCAACATCTTTTTTTTTTTTTGGTCGTACCTTGAATGTCAACATCTAGTAGAGCCTAGTGGGTGAATATCAGTAGAGCCAAGTGGTGATGATAGAGCTAGTCTTGCATCATTCTTTAATGTCAACATCTAGTAGAGCCTCTTTGCAATTCAATGTCTATTAAATCTTGATGTTCAAGTAATTAACTAATTGCTTTATGCTTAAGGATGTCCCTTGCTCACAATATTTTTCTCAAAACAAATATCTAAGCATTGCCATCAATTTGATGCACAACTTAAAACCTGATAATAATTATTTAAATTAAGCAACATATATTAATATTTTAAAGAAGAAAAAGAAACAAATGAATTTCATATTTTAAATCTATAGAAAATTTAATTTATTTATTGAAATTGTTCTTAATTCTCTAGCAAGATTTATTTTTTGGGTTTCAAATTAACTCACTTGTGATAATGAATTTCATCTAAAATTTACTCGCTACATAATTTAAATCAGAATAACTAATAGAATTGTTTCAAAGCTGAACTAAGTACCATACTTGAAACTCAGTTAAAATCATGTGCTTAAAAAAGTCACAACAGAAGGAGAGATTTATTCTTTTCAATCAACTGTAAAGAAATGAGCTTTGAACTCAGAAAACTGAGTTAATTGACAATCTACTTAGGTATTATCCATTGGCATATATGTTGCTGGACAATTTAAACACCATAAATTTTATTTGTACAATTACGTAGCAAACTCAATTAATTCTAATATTTGTCCTTTCTATTAATACATTTTTATTAGAATTAACAAATAGTATTGTCAACTTGTATATGTTCTATTAGCAGACATGGGCTTAGCCAAGTTGGCTATAGCGGTTGTGCTCTTGACTCTACACCCGAGTTCAAATTCCCATCCCCGTAGTTTAGATTAGATTAAAGTAGAATATCGTTTGTATTTTAAAATAAAAAAAAACTTGTATATGTTCTATTATAACTTATTTAACAACTGAAAATGCATAGAGTGATGTTGGGAAGGATGGCACAACATCAAGCTTGATCGTTTAGGGCTAATTGTAGGGCTTGTGATAAATAAAGTTTTAAGTTTTTTAGTTTTCTTCTAAAAGGAAATCAACTTAAATCGTAATCCAAGTTGGATTCGGTTAATTAGTTAAATCTCAATGGCGTGGTGGCACGTGTCACATAATTTGAAAATCAAATTTAGTGTTCCTAGCATTATTAATGTATGTATTGATAGCGAATTTGTTACGCCGCAAAAAACGAAAACGGAGCATATAAGGAACACTCGCGGGAACCGGTTTAGCGGGAAAAATAGCAATTGTTTCATCATTTAAAAATTACATCCATATTCCAAGAACAATACCAGTCTGTGAGATGTCTGGGATTGAGATCTCACAGGTAGACCTTATTCTGCATTTCCATATAAACCACATACCCTTATCCTTTTGCAAGACGTTAAATTAGGGAAAGATGCCCGCTGTACCAAAAATAAATGTTAAAATAGGGGAGGTTGGTGTGTCAGCGAAAGCGTTACCAACTTCTTCAGGCTCAGTATACTCGAGCTTATCTTCATAATCTTCTACACTCTTCGACATCTCTTCTTCGAGCTCGATCTTGCCCTGCTTTCTTTTTGCTCTCTCTCTCTCTCTCTCTCTCTCTCTCTCTTACCTAATCACAGGTAAAGTTTAAATTTTCAGCTGCTGCTAGAAATCAGTTTCTTTATGTTTGTTTATAGATCTTACATGTTTGTTGATTTTTATGGTTAGATCTGTTTCTTCTAGTGTCTCTAGATCAAACAGGTTTGTGTCAAAATCCACCTAGCCCTAGATCCGCTCACCCCATATCAGCTTTCTCCAAATCTAGGGTTCCAGCCTTCGGGGAACAAAAGAAAAAATTAAGGACAATGCCGGTTAAGAAGTTCAAGCAACACATACTTGAAGAAATGACACTCAGAATTCTCCACAGGCTTCCAGTAAAATCCTTAATCAGATTCAGCTGCGTTTCAAAACAGTGGCTTTCGACAATAATCCGTGATCCGGAGTTTGCCAAAACCCACTACAAACTAGCGGGAGAGCAGCAAACCCTCAGCCACAGACTCCTCGTTTCCACCCAGACCTTCGGACTCGAATCAATAGACTTGGAAACAAGGTCGTTTGGAGACAATTCTGGGGTTAGAAGGTTGAGCTCCCCATTCAATGAACCGGGACATTTACGTTTTCTGGGATCGTGCAATGGTTTGGTCTTTGTATGTCAGGGTTCTTATGAAAATATGTCTATTTGGAACCCGTCGACTGGGTTCCTCCACAACTTACATTTTCCAGGTTTTTTGTCGCAAGGGGAACTAACATTTTCCAACCATGGTTTTGGTTATGTCTCGGCCACTGACGACTACAAAGTTCTCGTTGCTTGTTATGAGCGAGAAGGCGATGAGGTGATTGGTGAGTACTTGGTCTACTCATTGAGAGGCAACGCCTGGGCAGCGATTGAAGACCCTCCCCCTTATTACCTCAAGACAGGCTACACACAGGGGGCTCTTTCAAATGAGGCGCTCCATTGGCTCGACCTATTGGACGAACAACATAGACAGCGTATCCTGGTTTTCGATTTGGCAAAGGAGGAATTTTGGTACATGTTGACTCCCTACTTTTGACGAGGCTGACGAAGAGGTGGGCGAATTGGAGGAGGACGCAGAACTCTCCGACCTGGAGATGATGGACATGGATCAGAGGTATTGGATCCATATAGGGGTTTTTCTGGGAGGATCCCTTTGTCTGTGGCTTTGGACGGCGGATAAGATGTATATCGAATTCTGTGTGATGAAAGAATATGGTGTTCATGAATCTTGGACTAAGCTATTTAAGTATAGTGTTGCCGATGATCTCGGTCTTCCTGATATTAATCCATTAAGGGGTTTGAAGACGGTGTTCCATACTGAAAGTGGCACAGTTGTGGCGATATGCTATGACAAAATTGAGTTGATAAGGATTGAGAAGCTTGAAAACGTCGTCGTTACCAGTAGCCGATATCCAGCTGGGGAGGTTTTGGAAGAAGTGGTGCAATATGATGAGAGCCTGCTTTCGCTTATTGAGTACGAAAACCCAACACAAGGCGGAAATGAAGAGCGGCATTCAACCCAAAATAATGAAGAGGGGGCTTCCACCAAAAATAATGAAGAGGGGGCATGATTGCTTTGCCTGTGTCGAAATTCTGGTTTGTCACTCTTCATTTGAATCTTTTACCTTCTTGTTTTTGTTGCTCTTCATATGCATTTTAAATTGTTACTTGTTTATGTTCTGCTAATTCATTGTTATTGATTATTTAATTTTTGGATAATGCCTTTGAAACTCAAAACATGATTTTCTTTTGATGTTTATGCTTCACGCTTTTTTTGGACAACATATGAGTGTTGTCTTTGGAAAAATTTGCCAAAGACACATACACAAAGTGTTAGATTTCATGGGATTAATTCAGTGCCATGGTTTATTGGAGGTTTCTAGAGACTAGAGGGTTAATCTAACTAGATATGTACACAATAGATGTATCTATTAAAGATGATTTTATCTTTTTATTCTGAAGAGGTTGAACATGTTTATCTTCTGCTTTATTTTTTATTTTCATGATTTCTATTACTCGTCATATTGTTTTCATACAGCATTAATATATTAGCTCACAAGATTACTCCAAACAACTACTAATTATCTGATGTTATTATGCAATAGGTATTAAATTTGTTTCAATTCAGATGAGTGAGTAATCAGAGTACTCTCATTTTAACTTATGTACAAAACACCATTTAATATTCTCTTCTAGCTAGGTTAAAGTTTGTGACTTGAAGTGATACAAAACAATATAAGTTCTGCTCATTATGACTTAGAGAAAATCGTTTTCCGCATTTTAGAAACATGTTCATTAGCAATGGCTGAATAGAGAGATAAAAATAAGCAAATAAAATTGATGCTATATTGATTCCCAGATCTCATTTTCTCGTCTTATTACAAATTAAAGTTATCTACACTTTGGTTTCCTTATAACTCAGTTTATTTCTTGTGTGCATGTGAAGACTGATAGCTAGCTTTGCAACTCAAATTCTGGTCGATTATCCTCCGAATCTGTTGCAGTTGTTGGCCTTTTCCAGTGCCAACTTCAGGATGGATCGTTGTGTTTTCTTTAAACTGTATTATTAGTTTGGGTTTGTGTCTGTCGTGTTCTCCATTGAAGTAGATTGAGTCATCTCATTTACCAAACTTTTATACCAGTTCACGTTTGTTTAATTAGATGTAATGTGCAAGATTGGAATGACAATGGTTGAAATTGTTATACATGCGATATTGAGGGAGGGGAGAAGACCTCAGGTGCAGGAGTAAATGTTCTTCTGTAAAGGTTTAAATGTTAAAGTTTAATGCTTCCTCCTCTTTTTCTTTTTTAATAAGTTTAATATTGTATCATTTGGTCTTGTATTCGTAACATGCCATGTGAGTGGCTTTATTTTTAGGGTTAATTTCAATTTAGTACCCTGAATTCTCACCCTTAAGGCATGTTTGTCCATGCACTCTCAATTTTAACAATCATGATCTTTTTAATTTTTTGCAATATGATATCGGCCGTCAAAATCTCCGTTAATTGTCTATGTGGCAGGCATGGGTCCCATAGTTTTGCTTCTTTCGATGTTAGTTGAAAGGTATTTTCAAGCAATTGGTGTCTTCCCCAAGTACTTTTGTTAAAAAATTATGACACATTTTTTGCAAGTTTGGGCGGGAAGGCACCAATTGTCCAAAAATACCCTTCAACTTACATCAAAAGAAGCAAATAGGTGGGACCCAGGCCAACCACGTAGGCAATTAACGTAAATTTTTCCAGCTGAAACCAAATTGCAAAAAATTAGAAAGATTAGTGTACATAATTGTTAAAATTGAGAGTGCATAGACAAACATGAGTCCAATTTTCTTGTTACCAAAACCCCTGTTCCCCTGTTTCTTCCTTAATTTTGTGACATGTGGTACATAACTTATAACTAATTTAACTCTGTTAATTGTTATTCGTATTAAAGAATAGTAGAATATTAAAATTAAAATAATTTTATTCACAAGCACAGTCCCTTCGTCTTCTCCGCCACACACCCTGCGATGCAACAGATCCAGATCCATACATGCCTTCACTTATTGTGGTCCCTTTATTTCAACACACACACCCTCCCTTTCTCCTCTCTCTCTCTCTTCGCACTGCCGCACTAGATCCAGAACCAACATGTCCTCTGCCTTGATGATGCTAGCAAGCTTCATCGCGAGTTCGACATTCCCGTGGCTACTCCGTCGCGACCTTGAATTTCCCATGATTGCTTCCTCCAAGGAAGAACAATCCATAAGGTTGATGGAGGATCTTAGTCAAAGAAGATAAAAATGTTCTGTTGGGCTAGAAATTTGATGAGAAACAAGGGGAAAGAGAGCCTTGGCTGGGTTGTGGAGGATAGGGGGTTGCCATAAGTTGGTGGCCGTGTGCTGAGTGGTTGTTGAAGTTAGATGGGAGGGCACTGTGATTTTATTATTTTACTTCAATTTATTTTGTTAAACATGTATTTTAATATATTTTAAATTTTTTTTAAAGACCTGAAGAGTTAACAGAGTGAAATCGGTGTGAAGTTGTGTGCCACATGTCACAAAACTAAGGAGGAAACAGGGGGCACAGGGTTTTTAGTAACAGGAAAATTGAACTCGACAAACATTCCTTAAGGGTGAGAATTCAGGTACTAAAGTGAAATAAACTCTTATTTTTATGCGGTTTCTGTTACATATATGAAGTGAAATAGAGAAGCTTCATATATACGGACAAAGTACTCCCACTAATCCTAGAGGCAAATGGAATTCTTTGTCTGACCTAGTTTCTTTATTTTTGTTTTCGCATCCTACATATTTCTTAATCAGGAGATTATATATCTATTTCCCGATCTATAGAGGCAAAGTTCTTATCAAAATCCACCAAATAGATATCTATATAAATCTAGGGTTCCTTCCAACAAAAGCTAATAAAAAAGTGTAAGCAACGGCGATGGCGAATACTACCCTCCCTGATGATATTATTGTGCATATTCTCTTGAGGCTGCCGGTGAAATCTTTAATCCGATTCAGTTGTGTTTCAAAACGGTGGCGTTCTTTAGTAATCTCTGACCCAGAATTCGCGCAATCCCATTTTAAATTAGCGTCCAAGCAGAAAACCCTCAACCGCAGACTCCTCCTCTCAACTGACTCTCAACTTGAATCCTTAGACTTGGAAGCGCCGTCGTTTGGAGAAAATTCTTCAGTGAGGAAGCTTGTCAGCCCATTTAAGCTGGACGATGGTGCCAAGATACTGGGCTCGTGCAACGGCTTGGTATGCGCGATTGGTGTTTACGAAAAGTTTTATATCTGGAACCCATCAACCGGCTTGTCCAAGACATTATCTAACACAGGTTCCTTTGGTTTGTGGCCAAGAGTTAAAATGCCTTATTGTTATCATGGTTTCGGGTACGTATCGGCTATTGACGACTACAAACTTGTGGTAGCCACTGATTTTATTGCGATCTTCTCATTGAGAGCGAACGTTTGGAAGAGGATGAAGGGCCCTGATGATCAGTCCATAGACATGCAATATAATGGGACTCTTTTAAATGAGGCACTACATTGGCTCCCGAGTCACCAACTATATATGTTTGCTTTTGATTTGGCCAAGGAGGAGTTTCGGAAGGTGCCTCTGCCTGTTACTCGCGAACTTGACGATATGCCTTTCCAATATCTAGGGCTTCTTAAAGGATGCCTGTGTGCATTACAACACAAGTCTTGTGATTGTGACTCTATTGATTTCTGGGTCATGACAGAATATGGCGTGCGTGAATCATGGACTAAGCTCTTTAAGTTCAAGATTTTCGGCCCACCAGGGCGCCCTAGGGGTTTAAGAACGGTCTTTGTATCAGAAAGTGGTAGCGTTGTGGTGAAAAAATATCGGTCCAGGGAGATGGAGTTGATAAGGATTGAGAAAAAAGAAGACAAGCTTGATGATAAAAATGACAAAGTTGTGGTTTGGAGTGACCGGTATACGCTAAAATGGTGTTGTGAGATTAATGTTGGATATGATGAAACTCTATTGTGGGTGGGTGGATGATTGTGGTGGCTGGAACGGCAGGGAAAAGAACTAAAAACCCAACGTGGTTGTTATGAACCTTAGGCCGTTTTTGTTGGGCTTATGGAACAAATTAGTTTTGTTGCCAGATGCCTGGTTTCTAGTGCTTCACGTCATAAGACGAGGATATATTCATTGATCTTTTCGTTGGATCACTTTGGAGAAAATGGGGTAGTTTGGGTGCTCTTCTAATTAATATTGAGATGAGAAGTATCGCTGGACCATTTGCTAGTTGGTTCGTTGAATTTTTACTTTGCAATGTATTTATGACCTAAATTTCATCCACAAGTAAAAAGTAATGCAATGCTTACCATATCTTTTTAAGGTCGGACTATGGCTATAATTAACCACAAAACCAAGGAGGAGGGAGTGGAGAGTGGCAGAAATCTGGTGGAGCGTTGGCTGGCAATGGGAAGAGGAGAGGAAGGAGGGAGAGAGGGAATTGGGGGAGGCTAACTTTATGGTTAAGTTTTCTAATTAATGAAAATAATAGGAAATCAGTGGTGGTTTTATGTTTTGGAGGCCCTAGGTGAACATCCTAAATGGGGCCTTCTACTTTATATGTATATTTATGTGATTTTTTTTTCTTTAGTAAGTTAAAAAAATATTATATGAACTCAAATTCACAACTGTAACATAAAAGAAAAAATCAATATGTAATTTACACAACAACTTTAAAAAAGGCATCAAAACATCACTTAAATATCACTCATCTTGTATTTTCAATTCAAAAGTATCAATTAACTTTACATAATCAAGTTTTTCTACCATGTCTTTTTCAATTTCATAATTGATTCAACTAGGTTAATTGATTTAAGCTATAAGTTTTAAAAATAATTGGGTGTTTATTTAGTTTCCTCTTTTTAATTTTGAATTGAGTAATTGGGCAAGTTTTTTGTTTTTACAATGAGTGGGCCTTTATTAGTTTCCTCTTTTTTGTTTTGAATTGAATGATTAGGTAAGTTTTTTTACATTTACAATAATGGCATATTTACTAATCCATAATTGGATTAGAAGGAATTGAATTGAGAAGGAG